GGGCTGGGGATTTGAACCCGCCACCTTAGGTGTATGTGGCTGGCGCCTTAGCCACTTGAGCCACAGGTGCCAAGCCAAGAAGCAGTTTTATAGTGTATAGTGTATATGTATAAAATCATAAAACATTTTGGAGAAGGAATTAGTCCCAGATTACTTAAAAGCTTGCTCCTGTTTTTGCTTATGGATCTGTGTATTAATATAGCTCAGTCCTTTCACTAACAAACTATGCTACTTGTAGTTTCACTAATATGCCGTTTGTTTTTAGTGCCTCTAGGTGTTTGCGTATTGTTGGCCCGTAGTCAGAGAAACACCTGACAGGTTTGAAAGGATTCAGAACTTTACTTCCTTAAAGTTGCTCTGTCTCATATATAAAATAGAATCTAGGGGCGGTGCCTGTGCCTCAGTGAGTAGGGCACCGGCCCCATATACTGAGGGTGGCGGGTTCAAACCCGGCCCCAGCCAAACTGCAACCCCAAAATAGCCGGGCGTTGTGGCGAGCGCCTGTAGTCCCAGCCATTTGGGAAGCTAAGGCAAGAGAATTGCTTAAGCCCAAGAGTTGGAGGTTGCTGTGAGCTGTGTGATGCCACGGCACTCTACTGAGGGTGATAAGTGAGACTCTGTCTCCACAAAAAAAAAAAAAAAATCTAATACTTCTCCCACTGTACAACCACTGCCTTTTACATTCTTCTGGCATTTCTTCTGCAAAACCTTATTGTAGGTATACATTTTTAAATACGATGAAGTCTTTGAGAACAGGATTTTAAAAATGCATTTTTATGGGCCAGGGGTGGTGGCTCACGTCTGTAATCCCCGCACTCTGGGAGGCTGAGGTGGGTGGATTGCCTGAGCTCAGGAGTTTAAGACCAGCCTGAGCTGGAGTAAGACCTTATCTCTAAAAATAGCCAGTTATTGTGGCGGGTGCCTGTAGTCCCAGCTACTTGGAGGCTGAGGCAAGAGGATCACTTGAGCCCAAGAGTTTGAGGTTGCTGTGAGCTATGATGCCACGGCACTGTACTGAGGGTGACAAAGTGAGACTCCGTCTCATAAAAAAAAAAAAAGAAAATTTTTTTTTTTTTTTTGAGACAGAGCCTCAAGCTGTCACCCTGGGTAGAGTGCTGTGGCATCACAGCAATTCTCCTGCCTCCACCTCCCAAGTAGCTGGGACTACAGGCGCCCGCCATAACACCTGGCTATTTTTTGGTTGCAGCCGTCATTGTTTGGCGGGCCCAGGCTGGATTCGAACCTGCCAGTGCAGGTGTATGTGGCTGGTGCCTTAGCCTCTTGAGCCACAGGTGCCGAGCCAAAAAATTCATTTTTAACGTCCCTAGAAAGTGAGGAAGTTTTGGACACGGAACTGCAGATGATTTTTTTTTTTTTAAACTCTCTACAGTGGTTTTGAACCTCAGATTTCTTTTTTCCATGAATCAAGAACTTAATACTTCGATAGAGGACTTTTTTGGGGGGGGGGGGAAGAGCCTTAAGCTGTCTCCTTGGCTAGAGTGCCGTGGCATCACAGCAATTCTCCTGCCTCCACCTCCCAAGTAGCTGGAACTACAGGTGCCCGCCACAACTCCTGGCTAATTTTTTTTTTTTTTTGGTTGCAGCCGTCGTTGTTTGGCAGGCCCGGACTGGATTCCAATCCGCCAACTCAAGTGTATGTAGCTGGCGCCTTAGCCGCTTGAGCCATAGGCGCCGAGCCTGTTAGAGGACTTTTAAGATTTGTTCTCCTATAACATATAATGCCAGATGAAGTACAGAGTAGGTGTACTGTGTAACCTTATCAAGTAGCAGCAGTGAACACGAACAGGGTATTAGTTCCCAAACGTTGCATTCTTTCTGTTCAGGTCACTGTAAAATGAACACAAATACACTTTTTTAGGTATTAGTGTCATTCAAGGATGTGACTGTGGGCTTTAACCAGGAGGAGTGGCAGCACCTAGACCCTGATCAGAAGGCCCTGTATAGGGATGTGATGCTGGAGAACTACAGCCACCTCGTCTCATTGGGTAAGGATTGTGTTTTATGTAATCCCAGATAGCACTTATTTTTCTCTTTTTTTAAGCTGGTGATATGTGGGATCTTTTGTAGAAATTAATGATCTTTAGCATTGAAATTTGGAATTCAGAGGTAACCTCTGGACTGTAACTATAAGGTGATAGATGCCTTTTGGTCACTAGAAACATTTTCCCCCATCTCCTAGTGAAAATTTTTTTTTTTTGTAGAGACAGTTTTACTTTATCACTCTCGGTAGAGTACCCTGGCATCACACAGCTCACTGCAAGCTCCAACTCCTGCGCTTAGGCGATTCTCTTGCCTCAGCCTCCTGAGTAGCTGGGACCATGGGCACCTGCCACAACGCCTGGCTATTTTTTGTTGCAGTTTGTCCGGGGCCAGGTTTGAACCCACCACCCTCAGTATATGGGGCTGGCGCCCTACCCACTGAGCCACAGGTGCCGCCTTCCTAGTGAAAAATTTAAGTGGCCTTATTTTTTCTTTTTTGAGACAGAGCCTCAAGCTATTGCCCTGGGTAGAGTGCTGTGGCATCACAGATCACAGCAACCTCCAACTCCTGGGCTCAAGCGATTCTCCTGCCTCTGCCTCCCAAGTAGCTGGGACCTTAGGTGCCAGTCACAACGCCTGGCTATTTTTTGGTTGTAGCCGTTGTTGTTTGGAGGGCCCAGGCTGGATTGAACCCGCCAGCTCAGGTATATGTGGCTGGCACCTTAGCCACTTGAGCCACAGTTGCCGAGCCTCTTTTTTTTTTTTTTTTTGAGACAGTCTCACTATGTCGCCCTTGGTAGAGTGGTATGGCGTTATAGCTCACAGCAATCTCAAACCTTTGGACTTAAGCGATTCTCTTGCCTCAGCCTTCTGAGTAGCTGGGACTATAGGCACTCGCCACAATGCCCAGCTACTTTTTGGTTGCATTTGTCATTGTTGTTTAGTAGGCCCTGGCCAGGTTTGAACCCACCTGCTTTGGTGTATGTGGCCGGTGCACTACTCACTGAGCTATGGGCATGGAGCCAGTGGCCTTATTCTTGAATAGCTCCTGAAGCTGTACCTTTTTTCTTTAGATGGCCTGAAACCCAAGTCTTGAGTCATTTCCATTCACAGGGTGTTGCTTTACCAAACCAGAAGTGGTTTTCAAGTTGGAGCAAGGACAAGAGCCGTGGATAGTAGAGGAAGAGTCCCCATACCAGAGCCACCCAGGTGAGTTAGCACCAGCTGTAAGCCAAATGATATTGGATCCCAATCCATTCAGGTGTTGGGCCTTTGTGGTTTTTTTTTTTTTTCTTTTTTGAGACAGAGTCTCAAGCTGTCACCCTGGGTAGAGTGCTGTGGCATTCAGCTCACAGCAACCTCCAACTCCTGGGCTCAAGTGATTCTCCTGCCTCCACCTCCCAAGTAGCTGGGACTACAGGCGCCTGCCACAATGCCCAGCTATTTTTTGGTTGCAGTCGTCATTGTTGTTTGGCGAGCTCTGGCTGGATTTCAATCCGCAGCACAGGTGTATGTGGCTGGCGCCTTAGCTGCTTGGGCCACAGGCGCTAAGCCAAGGTTTTTCTAGGATTTTTTTTTTTTTTAGAGGCACCATTTTCAAAGTGGCCTAGAATAGCTTGTTTTTCTTAGATATATATAACATGCTTGTGGGTAATGCTGTCACAGCTGAATGATCTTGGGTTTTCACTTAAATTTTTTTTGAGATGGAGTCTTGCTCTGTCACCCAGGCTAGAGTACAGTGACATCATCATAGCTCACTGCAACCTCAAACTCCTGGGCTCAAGCGAGTCTCCTGCCTCTCCCTCCCAAGTAGCTGGGACCATGGGTGTCTGCCACAACGCCTCGCTATTTTTTGGTTGCAGCCGTCATTGTTTGGCGGCCCAGGCCGGATTCGAACCTGCTAGCTCAGGTGTATGTGGCTGGTGCCTTAGCTGCTTGAGCCACAGATGCCGAGCCTCATTTTAGATCTTTTATCTATTACTTTTCCTTTAATTATGTATCATTTTAACTGCATATCCCTTATTCATTTCACAAATATTAAATTATTAATTTACGATGCCAGTTATGTCTATGAGCTGAGGACATACAATGATCCTGCTATTACAGAGTTTTTAATTTCTTTATATATATATATATGTATATATATATATATATATTTTTTTTTTTTTTTTTCCGGCCAGGGCTGGATTTGAACCCACCACCTCCAGCATGTGGGGTCGGCGCACTACTCCTTTGAGCCACAGGCGTTGCCTAGAGTTTTTATTTTCATTTTGGAGGAGAGGAGAGTAAAATTGGTATGATAGCAAATGTTTTTAAAATATGCTTTTGGGGTCAAAATCAGAACACAAATTTTAGTGGTGTGAGGGAGTGTGTGAACCATGTGGTCTCTGAATATTCTAGGCATTGGAGGCTTTTGACCAAACAAGTGACAGCATCTGGTTCATCTCTCTCTGGTTTCTAGGAAGAGAGTATGCCTTTGAGGGGATCTTTGGAGGGTGAAGCAGCAGTGAAATCTGCAGTAGTCTGTCACTGCCTGGTGAGGCTTTATACTAGCTTGGGAGTTTTGGAGGTTATATGAAGTATATGGGTTCTGGATAAGTTTTGAAGGATTTGTTAGATTGTTTTTGGAGTATAAGCAAAAGTGGCACTTGCTACATAGAGATAATTTTTTCAGTTGGGGAAAAATGGGGAGAATAGTGCTGGAATAAGGATGTAGGCAAATCTAAATGGGATTATAGGCATGAGCCACTGCACTTGGCTCAGCTCCAGGTATTTTAAAAATTAAGTAAAAGTGGACTAAATTCTTTTGATAAAAGAGATACTCAAGTTGGATTTTTAGAATGTATAGGCTTTTTGTGAGTTATACCTAAAACAAACATGAAATGCTAGAATATAAAAGAAGTAGGCTCGGTGCCTGTGGCTCAAGTGGCTAAGGCGCCAGCCACATACACCTAAAGTGGCGGATTCTAATCCAGCCCGGACCCACCAAACAACGACAGCTGCAGCCAAAAAATAGCCGGGCGTTGTGGCGAGCGCCTGTGGTCTCAGCTACTTGGGAGGCTGAGGCAGGAGACTTGCTTGAGCCCAGGAGTTGGAGGTTGTTGTGAGCTGTGAAGCCACAGCACTCTACCCAGGGGGATAGCTTGAGGCTCTGTCTCAAAAAAAAAAAAAGAAGTAATCAATCATATAGAGCCAAATACTAAAGAAGATAGATTTGGAATGTCGAAATAGATAAAGACAAAAGCAGTGTAAAATAAGAATCTATATTGGGATAAAAATGGTCACTATTCAAAGATAAATGTTTCATCACCAAAGGAAGAAATAATAATTAGTTCTAAAACAATAGATTAAGCCAGGTGTGATAATTCATGCTTATAATCCCAGCACTTTGGGAGGCTGGGGCCGGATTTGAGACCAGCTTGAGCAGCAGAGTGAGACCTGTCTCAACAAAAATTTAAAAAAATTAGCTGGGCATATTAATGTCTGCCTGTATTCTGGTTACCCTGCAGTCTGAGGTAGGAGAATCACATGGACCCAGGGGTTTGAGGTTGCCTTGAGCTATGATAGTGCCACTGGACTTTAGCCAAGGTGACAGAGTAAGACCCTATCTTTAAATAAATAAATAAAAAAAAAGCTTTAAAGAAAATTTGATAGAACCATAGAGAAATGCCAAATATACCAAGATTGCAGTACATCCCTTTCCATTATTGATAGATCAAGCATAAAATTATTATTTTTGAGACGGAGTCTCACTCTGTAGAGTACTGTGACGTCACAGCTCACAGCAACCTCAGACTCTTGGGCTTAAGTGATTCTCTTGGCTCAGCCTCCCAAGTAGCTGGGACTACAGGCACCCACCACAATGCCTGGCTATTTTTTGTTCTTGTTGTCATTTGTTTAGCAGACCCAGGTCAGGCTTGAACCCTCCAGCCTTGGTGTATTTGGCTGGTGCTGTACTCACTGAGCTACAGGCACTTAGCCTTTTTTTTTTTTTTTTTTTGAGACAGAGTCTCACTTGTCACCCTAGGTAGAGTGCTATGGTGTCGCCGCTCACAGCAACCTCCAACTCTTGGGCTCAAGTGATTTTCTTGTCTTAGCCTCTCAAGTAGCTTGGATAATGCCCAGCTATGTTTAGAGACGGGGTCTCGCTTTTGCTCAAGCTGGTCTTGAACCTGTGAGCTCAGGCATTCCACCTTCCCAGAGTGCTGGGATTATAGGCGTGAGCCACTTTGCCTGGCCTATAGTCAGGATCTTTTTTTTTTTTTTAGACAGAGCCTCAAGCTGTTGCCTTGGGTAGAGTGCTGTGTCATCACAGCTCACAGCAACCCCCCAACGCCTGGGCACTCACCACAACGCCTGGCTATTTTTTTTTTTTTTTTTTTTTTTTTTTTGGTTGTAGCCATCATTGTTATTTGGTGGGCCCAGGCTGGGTTCAAACCCACCGGCTCAGGTGTATATGGCTGGTGCCTTAGCTGCTTGAGCCACAGGTGCCAAATTTCTCTTAACAGCACAGCTATGTTACACTGGTGTCATCTTCCTCTGAGAAGATAGCATTTGATACACTCATTCAGGACTTAAAAATAATGAAAAAGGAGCTCACAAAAAAGTCCCCACATGCAGTGCATCCACCTGCCACCTCTGTTAAATTCCTGAAAATTATTTGGTAAACAAAGGGCCATGTCATCCCTGATAGTGTTTAGAAATAGGTACTAACCTTGTCAGCACCCACAATGTTAATTCAAATATCTTTTAATCCTGTTTGGGATCTGGAGCAACATATTCCCCATTTATAAGCTTTGCTTAATTTCTTTTTTTTTTTTTTTTGAGACAGAGTCTTTATCACCCTCGGTAGAGTGCTGTGGTGTCACAGCTCAACGCAACCTCCAACTCCTGGGCTTAGGCAATTCTCTTGCCCCAGCCTCCTAAGTAGCTGGGACTAAAAGTGCCTGCCACAATGCCCGGCTATTTTTTTGTTGCAATTTGGCCAGGGTCAGGTTCGAACCCACCACCCTTGATATATGGGGCTGGCACCCTACCACTGAACCGCAGGCACCACCAAGTTTTACTTAATTTTATTGATTCTGTTATTTGCAAGTCTACCCAGTTGAATGAGTTCATTTTAACAAAAAGCCCTGAAATTTCCACATTGTAAAGCAGCAGGGGTCTCATTAGTGTCCTCAGTCTCCTTTGCTGTAGGGGCTTTAGCAGCTTCCTCATGCCTCCTGAGGGCCGTATATCACCCTTGAGCTTCTGGTATCAGAAACATCCCTCTTTGGCACTGTTCAGTACAACATTAGAACAGCAGTTGCTGGCTATATACTGGGCTGTCTTAGAAATAGAAGCACTTAAGGGTCCTGAGCTTGCAACCATCCATACCCAGCTGTCCATTATGCCTTCGATCATGGATGCAGTACCCCACAGGTTCTGCACAGCTAGCAAGGCCACCTTGATGCAGGATGGAACCACTCTTGGCCCCTTTGCCTTAATCCTACTTGCATGAGTGAGTGCCTTCGTTTGTCCTCAGTTTCTGGCTAGATGTCCTGGTCTTCCCTCTCCCAAACTTCTGGGATACCTGGGGAGCCCCTTGTGATTAATTGAATGAACAGAAATGAAGTTTTCTGGACTTTACAGATGTTTTCACCACATATGGTGAAGCTCAGTAGCATGTTGCTGCTTTCCGTTCTTTAACCAGGATGCCCGTCATCAAGTGCAGGACCCAGGAGACAGCACCAGTGGCCATATTCAGGCGGTAATCCTGGCACCAGATGCCCTGGCCAATACATGGCTCTGTCTACATTTTTATGATCTCTTGGACCATTGCTGTTTGAGTTGCCGCCTTTGGGATAAAGACTGTTGGAATTCTCTTGCTTCACAGATACCCACAATCTAAATCAAAGTAACAAATTATCTTTAGATATATTAAGGATCCAATACAATGCCTCACCGGGACACACCTTACTGACCAGACAGTTCTTACAGTGACCAGCGCACTTCTCAGAGTACTCAGTGGTGAACTTTTTGGGTTTTTTGAGACAGAGCCTTAAGCTGTCGCCTTGGGTAGAGTACCCTGGCATCACAGCTCACAGCAACCTCCAACTCCTGGGCTCAAGCAATTCTCCTGCCTCTGTCTCCCAAGTAGATGGGACCACAGGCGCCCACCCCAACGCCCGGCTATTTTTTGGTTGCAATCGTTGTTGTTTGGCAGGCCGGAGCTGGATTCAAACCTGCCAGCTCAGGTATATGTGGCTGGCGCCTTAGCTGCTTGAGCCACAGGCGCCGAGCCAATGGTGAGCTTTTGAAAAGGATATTCAATATAAATTCTACATCCTATCTAGGCACCAGACAGCTAGTTTAATTAGGTATAACACTCATCAAAGAACACTAACTTAATAAAGTGGCAAGTAGGCTTCTTGCCACAAGCATTGATTAAATTTATCAATCAGGCTTGACACCTGTGGGTCAAGCGGTTAAGGTGCCAGCCACATACATCTGAGCTGGTGAGTTCGAATCCAGCCCAGGCCCACCAAACAACAATGCCGGCTACAACCAAAAAATTGCCTTGTGTTGTAGCAGGCACCTATAGTCCCAGCTACTTGGGAGGCAGAGGCAGGAGAAACTCTTGAGCCCAGGAGTTGGAGGTTGCTGTGAGCTGCGATGCCACGGCACTCTACCTAGACAACAGCTTGAGGCTCTGTCTCAAGAAAAAATTAAAAAATAAAGAATAAAATAAAACTTTGATTACGTTGATGTTAGCCTGACAGGATAGACCTGTGAATGCCCCGTTACTTAACACCTGAAATGTAAGGTCCTTTTTAACAAGCATCAATGATGGCCACATGTAGCCTCACCAAATTAATTGTTCTCTCTTTGTCTCCTAGAGGTACCTCAAACCATAGTGCTTGTCACCTTGCTTGTACTTTTCATGTTAGTGTGTATCTTCCTGGTACATATGGTTAAATGCATTAATTGGTGAAAGGTGCTTGAAACAGTGCCTGGCATGTAATAAAGTCTAAGCTACATACCTCAGTGTTGAATATCACTGTGATTACCTTCGAAGTACTCCCTTTCAGAACTTACACACAAATGCCATGACTTAGTCCACCCTTCAACACAATTTTGGAACTCATTTTCTAGAATGGGCATCAAAGCTGTTGTATTACCCTTGATGTCCTGAATGTCATCAAAATGTTTTCCTTTCAATGTTTCCTTTATCTTCAGGTAAAGAAAAAAAGTCACTGTGGGCCAGATCAGGTGAGTAGGGAGAGTATTCCAATACAGTTATTTGTTTACTGGCCAAAAACTCCCTCACAGACAGTGCTGTATGAGCTGATGTATTGCCGTCATGCAAGAAACATGAGCTATTGGCCAAAATTTTCAGTTAAGATTTTCCTAACTGTTTATCTATTGATGTTTGCCTGGTCTGCTATGCTTTTCTCAGGCAGCTGATTATGATGCACAATTTGATGAATTTTTGCATTGTTTTTGTCAGTTTTGCTCATTACCGGTGGCTCTGACTTCTCCTCATCAGTGGCATTTTCTGTTAGAAAAATATTTAATGCATTTGTCAAGCCATTTTCTTCATGGCATTATCCCCATAAGTTTAGACTAACATGTCCCTTTCACTTCTACTCTTGCCAAGTTTAATAAGAAATTTACAAATGTTTGTTCATTGATATAATCGAACCTCTAACATTCTTGCAGTGGCACACAGAAACATGCAACAATAATAATGAATGCTACTCAGCAAGATAATCACTGCATGTCAACACTGAACACAGCTGTGTTGAAGATTCTAGACTAGGTTGAAAGTATCATCTTTAAAAAAGTTCACACAGGAAAGAAGAACCAGAAATGATGAAATAAATTAATAAGTACATGGTTTACATACAGGAAAAGTGAAGGATTAGGGTTGTGTGAGGGGCAAGACGTTATGAAAGAAGCAAATCAAAAGAAATAGGTTTAACAGTTTCATTAATGGACAAGGGTGGTAAAAGAAAATGAAGATGCAACAGCAAAATAAAAATATGTACCCAGGCTCAGTGTTCCGTCGCTCAGTGGTTAGGGTGCTGGCCACATACACTGAAATTGGTGGGCTCAAACATGGCCTGGGCCTGCTAAACAACGACAACTGCAACAACAACAACAAAAAAATAGCTGGGTGCTGTGGCGGG